CACATTGTAAATTAACCAAACCCAGAGACAATAGAACACTAATCTGTTCTATAGGGTCTCTGCCGAACCCAAATTTGGGCCAGATATGGCGGCGCTTCCTCTCTTTGTTATATTTAGCTCCTTGCATCAAGACAGTCCATTCCCCTCACACTACATCCGTCCACACGACAAGAGGCAATCACGTCGCGCGCACGATGCACTGCGGGACATCCAGCGCACGCCGCCACGCAAACAAAAGAACGCGCATAGCAAAGGGAGGCGACACGGCCTACCTTGTCACCTCGTCATAATTAACGCGGCAAAATTAACGAAGGCAAGTGACGAGGGAACGAAAACCCGTGACGAGTCTCTGGCGCGGTGCCAAGTCGCGCGCGAGATCTCCGAGCAGCCGATGGAGGTTCTGCTTCAGCTGCGGCAGCTCCACTAGACTATCGCTGTCCTCGTTCTCCTCGCTGTCGGCCGCCATCGCTGCAGGGGAGAGAGAGAGAGAGAGCGGTGAGTCGCGGCGGCAGTCTATGGTGATGCGAGAGCGCGCACACACATGTCATATACGCGTTTTTATTGACACTTTAATTTTCAATTTTTCACTATTAATTACACGTTCAAAGTACTATCATACGTTATATATATAGTACTTTATTATATACATACATATATATATACAATAAAAGCATATATATAGGGTTTAAATAAATAATAGAGAGGGTTAAAATATATAGCATTAAAAAATAAGAAATATACCAAAAAATACAATAAACATAACACAATGTTATTACCAAATAGTAATGTTAACTCCTAATGACAATAATATTATTATTAAAATTAATAATAATAATAACAATAATAATAATAATAGTAGTAATAGTAATAAAATCTAAAATATATACTATACGGGGTCGGCGAATCTCACGGCAGGACGCGCGCCGCCCTCCGCCCGCGCTGGGCTCGGCGGCGCCCCCTGGTGGGAGCGTTCCTGCGGAAGCAATCGCGACGTGGGACGACGAGAAACACAACATGGGGTGCAGCAATGCGCAGCTGTAGTAGCTGTAGCCGACGATACATGTACATCGATAGATGATATATACATACGTATACATAATATATATATATTATATCAGGAGCGTATAATGACAAATACGCATATAATGACAAATACGCGTATAATGACAAATACGCTTTGTCATTATACGCTCCTGATATAA